ATTCAACTCTTTCGGCTCCAAGGCTTTTTTCTTTGCAGCAGGTGAGCCCCCCCCCCCCCCTCCCACCCAGGAATACACACACACACACACACACACCGGCGCGCACCTTTAATGCACGTTTTCTTCCACAAACACAAACCCAAAGAGCTTTTGAGCCTCCCCGACGCTACCCGCTCCTCTCCAAAGGCTGCTCTCCCCGTCTTTTTATTTCAAACCCACCACCACCACCACCCGGCCGCCGCCGCCGAAGAAGAGCCTTTCAGGTACCTCATACTGGATGTATTGCTTCCGCCACTCCGGAGTGATGTGTGCGGAAAGGTGCTCGGCGAACTTCATGCTGCCGCCGCCGCCGCCTCCCCGTTAAGGCTTCCGAGCCTCGCCTGCTTTACTTCTCAGCCTCGCTCGGTCGCCTCAGAGCCGGCTGGGATGTCTTCTTGTCGGTGCTTGAGGTGCGGGCGACGGAGGCGACCTCCGCGGCGCATGAGCCCCCCCCAGTCCTTGAATCTCTTCTTCCGCGCACGATTCCGGCCCTTAGCGCGCTTTTTTCCCCCCTTTCAGGAATGCCCTCGCGCGGCCGTCGTCGCCCGCTGTGGCCCCGCAGCCTCCTCCGGCGCTCCTGAGGCAGCGGCCACCTCCGCCGCCATCTTTGCTCTCCTCCGTTGGCCTGGGCCCGCCTTTCCACACTGAGGGACCTGACGTCATCGCCCCCAGGAACCGCCTTCCTCCCGAAGAGCAGACGTAAGGCGAAAACAAAGGTGGGGAGGGGAGGGGGGGGAGAGAGAACGAACACTGCCGTCGGCCACGCCCACTTCCCCTCCTCGCCGCCTTTCTTTCGATCCCGCACAAACGGAGCGTGAGGGGCGTGAGGAGCTCGGAGGGGAGGGGGGGCGGAGCCGTCGTTGGGGAACGCCCACGGCACGCCCTGAGTGGTAGCGGATTTTCAAACAAAACGGGATCTGGGGGTTGGGAACGCCCCCTTTTTTCTGCCCTGCGGCAGCGACTTGTGAGGCGACCGGGAATGTTCCACGCGGCGTCTTTGAGGCAAAAGGGGGGGGGGGGTTTGACATATTAAGGTCCCCTTTGCTTTATCCTAGGGTTACTTTGNCAACATTAAAAACCCCTAACATTCCTAATAACCCAATGAAATGTTTAATGTATAGTTTCCACTATGAAATACAATATTTGAAGCCCTAATATGTCAACTTTGGCCACAAAAAATATTAATATTCCTCTTTCGTGTAAATGTCATTATATACTCTTCTAGATTCTGAGTACAGGTTTGCAAATTAATCAAATATTGTCACAATTTAGTACTGGGAATATTCACCTGGGGGGACAAAGATTAGTTTGAGGTTAATTTGAAAATGTTCAAGCCTGAAAAATATGAAGACAAGGAAGTAGTTGACTTATTCTGTAGGTTTTTACTTTATTTATTGACTTTAAAATCAATGAATCATAAAAGCAGTTAGCTAAATGCTCTCCTTGGCATTCTTCCTACAATAACCACTACTCTACAACATCAAAGCAAAGCAATAAAATTAGACTGTCATTTCTATCATGAATTACATCACAGAACAGTAAAGTTCCTTTGGAAGGTTTTCATACTATTATAAGAATTCCATTTTTTTTAAATTTCAATTCTAAATTTTCTTGATTTTTATTATAAGGGCTCTTAATTTCATTAATAGCTGGTAAACTATAGTTTGATTATTTAAAATACTATTAAAATATATCCAACCTTCTTCAAAGAGTAGAAAGTAGTGGGTCTTTAAATCTCAGAAACAAATGATGTGTGAAGTTTATTAAACAATGTGACAAAGTTTATTTTTACAGCCAAGTACTAACAACTCATTAACAAAATCTGATTTGCAAAAGTGCCCATAGCAATTGCCCATGCTAAAATCAGAAGTGATAGTATAAATGTTTATTGACAAACTGCATCCTCATGGTACAGGGTTGTAACATCCACCCAATAATGTAATGGAAAGTGTGAACAGTTATTTCAAGTTGTAACAAGCATAGGCAGTCAAGTACAAGCACAGGATTAACATAAAAATGTTAATTCTAAAGTGGCAAATTACTGAAATAACAGCAATTTCAAGATGCCGTATCAGTAAATTCTTTTGCTTACATATGAATATTTCTCTTTTTCTATCGATCTTACAAATATATAGGGACGATATTCCTATCTGAGCATTAAGCCGTCCACAAAACTCCCTTTTCTTACATTTCTGAACTCCAGATTTATAAATTCTTTGGTTGTTAGACTTTCCTTTCATTTCCAAGAAGCATCTTTCTTTAGCCTCAGCTTGTCAGCAAGGTACCTTTTCAATCCCACTGGGTCCATTAAAGGCATTCTGGTTTTCTTCCACATTACTGTTGTTTGAAATGGTATTCTTTAGGGTTTTTTTTCAAGATATCCCAGCTGGTTGCAACACTAAAATGTTCCTCATTACATCTTCATTATTTCTTTTAGTGTACTAAAATCAGTCTTTTAAAAATATGTGGTTTATAGTTTGTTATTTTTTAATTAAGCTTTTTGTTAAAATCAAAAATTCTAACAAAGCATGGCCACTTGGAATCAAAGTTTCCACCACTTTAATATTATCAGTCAACTTCTGTTATTTAGGCCCATGAAGCACAGCCTTTAGTGTCCGTCTCTATAATATTTTACATTCCCTGCCTCTTAAAACAACATTCTAAGACATTTCTTAAGTATGAAGAATTAGAATGTACAATGTACAGGTCTGCTGAAAACTGCACTGGTACTGAGAAGAGCTGTATTCTACTAACCAAATAAAGATAGTCATCTAACATAAAAATATTTGCAAGGATAGAATTCTCTATCATTTTATTCTCAATGAGAATATTTGCATCGAAGGCAAATCAGAACTGCTATAAGCATACTAATAACTAAATCATTTGATTTAGAAAAATTACAACATCAGTCAAATCTACAAGTTTCCAAAATCTAGTTCATATATTCATTTAATCTGCTGGCAAATATTTCTGAATTTATGTTAATATACTGTGGTATATTGTTAAGACAATATACTGTCTTAACCGCAAAGCGGTTAAGACGCTGAGCTTGTCACCTGGAAAGCCAGCAGCCCAGGTTTGAGACTTGAACATCACGCAATGGGGTGAGCTCCCATCCTTGACCCAGCTCCTGTCAATCTAGCAGTTGAAAAGTTTAATGCAAGTAGATAAATAGGTACCATTTCAGTGGGAAGATAACAGAGCTCCATGATGTCATGCTGGCCATATGACTGTGGAAATGTCTTTGAAGAGTATTGGCTCAATGGCCTTGAAACGGAGATGAGCACTGCCCCCTTTGGCATCAATGATTAGCAGTATAAAATCCGCAGAGACACCTTTACCTTTAACATTACTATAGTTAAAGGATCCAAATAGATGAGTTTGATACTATTTGGAAATTAGATAGTTATGCTTTTTCTAGTCTATTCAGTTAAAATGCTGGCTCTTATACATAATTATTTTAGTTAGATACTACTGAGTCCGGCTGGAAGCATGGTGGTTGTATAGACAAACATTCTTTATCTTGACTTGTCTCTTAACATTTACAGCTCTTTCACAGACACACCAGCAATTTCGTTGTGTTTGTTCATCAATTTTACCAGTTGCCTTATCCTTTTTCCTACTTCCCATAAACCTGCCAAACAGAATCCTCTCCAAGTCCATCTCCTGCTTGCATCATCTGGTCAACGTCTGAATTACATTACCTCAAATAATCAGTTTTTATTTAGTCCAGAATTGATGGATATGCTTTTTGCAATCCATGATACTTAATCTGTCTCTAAATTCATACTTCAAAGAAACTTGCTTCTTTTTTGGATTTTCAGTCTTCAGTTCTCAAAGCACACTATCACCCATGGAAACACATTGCTTTAAGATTTCCAATTTTATTTGTCACAGAAATGACTTTGTCCTTCATAATCTTGCCTAAGTCTGCCATTAAAACAAGGAAAGCAAAACTATCTATCACTTTTACTTCTTTACTGTCAATTTCAAATTCATTTAGCATGCGGTTTCATGTTTTAATATTTAATATTAATTTATAGTTTTATTTTCTATTCCCATAAAGAGCTATTCTAAAGCTTCTTTATGTTTATCTAACCAAGTTGCATATCTGCATGTTTCACTGTTTTGACTCTCAATTTGAATTCTAGCTGCCAACTCCCATTCTTGTTATTATTATAATATATTTATTGTACATGTTAAACAGATATGGAGGCAATAATTACCCCCTTCCTTACTAGACCTAGTTTTCCAAATTCAGCTGGTTCCAATTCTAGTTTTGTATTCAGATGCCTCAGATTGTAATGCCATCTATGTCAAATCCATACGGCAGATTATTCCCATTATAGCCATTAATTCAATCAGTTCTGCACAAGCAATAATGATACATATCCAAAGTTATATAAAGTAAATTGAAATAATAATTTCTGTAACTCACTAGTTTATGACCAATTTTACTACAGTGAAGCAAATTCTCCAAATCCAAAAAAATCTAGTATCTAACGTTTTCCCCATCTAAGCAACCCAATAATTAAATGTCTTCTGCAGAAAATCAGATTGCCAAAAAAGCAACATGCCATAAAATCCAACATGAGAGTTAGTTTGATCTAGGGCACTGGCTTAGAAAGCAGGAAACCATGGAGTCCTGTCTTAGCCATGGAAGCCAGCTAGGTGACCATAGACCAAACACTCTTTCTCAATCCAATTCATTTCACAGGGTTGTTATGGGGAAAATAGGAGAAGGAAGGAATATTTAATATGTTCATTGTCTTGGGTTATTGGTAAAAGTAATGTGGGATAAAAAAAGAATATAATAAGAAGTATAAAACATAGAAAAGCTAGACTCTAGTTTGGCAACTTTTTATATTTATATAAGCATTTAACTAATTTCTTTGTATGTTGGTTTTAAAATGAAATTGCAAAGACACAAGAGTATGTTTAGTACTAATTTAATTTAGTATAATGCAACATCGCCATCTGACCAAGTAGCAAGATACCCTTGTGCAGTTTAGAAACAACATTTTGAAAGCAAGACAAGGATAGGTAAATGCCTATTTCCCTGTTACCCACAACTGTATGTAAATTAAATAATCTTTGCTGCTTTGGGGGATGTTTTCTTAGTTTTGTATTTTATGTAAGATGCTGGGACTCTTTTGATTGTAGTGGATTAGAAATGAGAAAACTAAACAGAGGCCACAAGATTTAAAGAGGCGTGTAACTGCAGTGAATAATTCTGATTGCCACATGCAACTCTTGAGCTCTTATTTTAAAAACAAAGACCATATTAGTCTATTCCTATGATACCCCTTATTATATTCTCCTCTTCCTCCTATGCAACAAGAAAGTAGTTACAGCCGAGCAGATTCCTTGATTTTTGTTCTATGAATTACATAACCATGAATTGAAATAAATTATATTTAATTTCTACAAACATTCTTTTAAAAGCCATGCCTGTGACCAATAACCAAAATGAAACCTCTAGCACCTACTTTTTGAAAAACATAGAAAATAGTATAAATGAGAAGTTTCAAATTGACTTCTGAGAATACTGTAATAAAAATTGGGAGTTAAGGAAGAACATGATACAAAACATTTTTAACTCAAACCACTGTAAGTTTAAAACACCCCATTTAACATA